AATTTTAATTTTTTCCCCCTCAATCAAGACATTATGCACAGTTACATTAGTTTATCCCTAAAAGGTTTATTTCCATAATTCAATTCATTACACAGAGTAATGCATAGCTCTGTAAAAAATTAAGAGACCACTTAATACAAGTTTCTCTGATTTTACTCTTTATATGTATATGTTTGAGTAAAATTAATACTGTTATTTTATTCTATAAACTACTGACAGCATGTGTCCGAAATTCCAAGCAAAGATTTTGTATGCATTTGCAGAAAATGAGAAATGGTCAAAAATAACGAAAAGATGCAGTGCATTCAGACCTCATAATGCAAAGAAAACCAGTTCATATTCATTTAGAAACAATATTAATGTTTTAACTCAGGAATCAATATTTGGTGGAATAACCAGGAGGTTTATAATGAGGTTCAGTGCAGTAGTGGGCTCTTAATTCATTCCATGGCTGTATATATCATTATATAATGAAGCATTGCTTCAGGGCGTGGAGCAGTTATGCATAAACCAAAATTCAAATGGGCCTTGCATCACAATTCCCCAACTTTTTCCTTCCACTCAACTTTCTAATGATTAGACATAGCAATGTGAACCAACAGGTTCAAAAATAAAATAAAAAAATCCAGTTTTATCCATTTTATTAATTGGAAATATGTTTCACCTCTGGACCACTAAAATACATTTATTTGCACAGCCCTTTACAAAAACCAGTAAAAGTGCTTTGAGTGAGATAAGAAAATATATGAAACAAGAAATAGCAGAATAAAGTAAAAAGATAAGAATGTAACACTACTGTGATCTTTTATCATTGAAAGTTTTTTTTGTTTTACATCATTTAATAATCTGAAAAGCTGAATTTTAAGTCAGTATCAACTGTAAGCCACAAAAATCAAAAATACCTTCAAGATGCATTTAAAATATATCACTGTGAAACTGTAATTCATCTATATTGTCATTTTTTAACTAAAATAAATGATTTTCTAACTTTGCTTACTGACCTGGAATCTTCTTATAAAACGGACAACGTGGCAGCTGCACTTCTCCGTCAGCATTTACTCTGTTCCACCTACGTCTCCATCCTCTGTTCCCTCCTCTACCTGCATCACCTTGAGCGCCGACTGAGTCATTTCCGAACGCCGCCGCTGCTGCTGCCGGCGCCGCCTCTGGGTCAGCTTTTCTTTTCTTTTGTCTGTGCCGTCCCGGGTTCTTATCAGACGCTGGAACAGAGGACGCCTCCAGGTTGCTTTGTAAACTTTTATTGTCCGTCTCCTTGAGCGGTTTGAGACCAAAAAACACCCCGATGTCAGTCTGCTTGAGTCCAGAACCCTGGACTGCCTTGCTTTGGCCTTTCTGAGGCAGCATGTTTTGATAATTTGGCCCAAACGGATCCTGTGATGAAGACACTTGAGCAGAATTAAGTTTCTGACTGCTGTGACCCTCTGAGCAAATAGTTTCTCTTAGTCGCTCTAAAACAGCACTCTGTGGAGACTGAAAGCTGCTGATTTCCCTCTTAGATACACGAGGAGTTTCTGCAGCCTGCTGATTAGTAGGTGCTAATGAAGAAACTGGATCCAGCTGAGACGAGGAGGAAGAGGAGGGATCATCAAACGCTGCACCTTCATCACAGTTCTTGTCTATGAATTCAGCCAGGATTTCATCTTCACTGGAAAAGCTGTCGTTGAACAGAATCACTGAATGTTCATTACCAGAGCTCTCGTTAAGAAAAAGAGACTTTCTGCAGTTCATTTCAGTCTCTGCAGGGAGCTCAGACAGCGGAGAGTAGGAGATCCCATCGTCATCATCATCATCTTTGAGAGACGTCTGCGTCTCTGTTGAAACTTCACAAGCTCGATCTGATAGAATCTCCTTGACAGGAGTGGATGAAATCTCACCAACTGGCTTCTGAGCTTTATTATTATTATTATTCCCCAGCCAGCCTTTCTTTTTCTTAAAGTCATCAGGCCCAGGAGAACGCAGCAACAGAAGGCCATTTCTAGGTTTTGTCGGAGGTGTTGGAGTGTGATTCAGACTGGAAAAGGAAGAAGGAAAGGAAGTCGTCCCCTGAGAGCGAGCTAATGGAAAGCTGAGCGCCTCATTGTTCTGAATGTTTTGGAGATTTGCTTCTCCGCTGGTCTCTGTTTGCAAGGACAGACTGGGGGCTGCGGCGTTGCCGTTTGCACGGGTTTCAGCGAGAAGCGTGTGGTTGAACTTCTTGTAATGGTTTGGAATGGTGGAGGAGCACAGGAGGCCATCTGGACATTCTGGAAAGAGGGAACAAAAATCAATCAAACTTAGGTTATTTTATTCACCACGGTTTTCTGATTGTGGTTAAATTATATTCTATCTAGTGTTGTGCCATTAAATCAACAAGCTGAATATCTCACTTTTTATATCCCACACAACAAATCTGAGCTAAGGATGCACGATATTATCGCCATGGTATCGGTATCGGCCGATATTAGCTGCAAAATTTAATATCGGCCATTCCGTCAAAACAACTCACCGATATAAAAGGCGTTGTTTTTATATGACTAACCAGATGCCTGCAGCACAGCACAATGTCAAATTTGTACTGCTTGAGTGTTGTCATTGTCTTAGAGAGCAAATATCATGAATAAATTTGACATTAAACAAAAGTGTTACATCATTTTCAGCCTCCTTTTTAGCATTTGGATTTAGTAGCAGGCTAAATTGACTACTGTTTAACTAGAGTAGAGAAAACCATATAGTTCAGTAAGTAGACATAACAGAAAAATATTGGTATCTGTCATCGGAGAAATGAATTTTAGTATATCAGCATATTAGATATTGACCAAAAATCTAATATTGTGCTTCCCTAATCTGAGCTGACACTGAAAGGAAACCAGACCCACCTCTATTTTCCTTTGTTATCGGGTCAGGACACTAGATCAATAAATGATGTTAACAAAAAGCAATGATTCAAAGCTCTTTTTCTATATGGCATAAATAATTTTAGATTTAAAAAGAAAAATTTCAATCAAAAATCACCTATTTTTAATTGAATACTTTAATTTCTCAAAACATTTCAGAAACAGAATTTGCAAAAGATTGTAAACTCTAAATGTGACTTGATGACAAATTTATTTAAATAGGCTTTAAAAGGAAACCTGTGAAATGTAATCTCCCAATAGGCCTCCAGTTGATTGCATCGAGTCATTGACTTTGCAGCATTTTCTCAACCTGAGCAAGCACTTAAGTGTTTGATAAGAGACAATAAAGGAGCTCAGAAGGGCAAACACAATAAATCAGTCTGGTCAAAGTCATCTGTCCAACACAATTACATCAGGTGGGGAATAAAAACTAATTATCAGACAAGATTTTGTTTGTTTTAAGGGGCACTGGAGGGTTTCTGCAACATTTTTACCTGAGGTTTTCCAAGGTTACTCTACAACACACAAAATTGTATCTAACTAGAGCATCCGATTACATTTCTTTACAATAACAACTTTCCAAAGAAATAATAAAATGATGTTGAAATACCAGGTTTCCCTCAGAAAACTTGTAAAGCCTGGTGGTTGGGCACTAGGGCAACCATTCATCCAATGACCTGCTGTATTTCTGAGTTAAAAAATGTTTAAAGTTGACAGGAAATTTGAAAATATCCCTTGATAATTATGTGGTACTAAAAAATTGAAAGATTAATACCTGAAGACTAACTATAAAATCTTTAAAAAATGCAAACATTAAAAAAACTTAAATAAATAAGCAATGCTAATTTCTTATTATAAGCCTGGCGGGCCGTCAGGCTTATAATACACTGGGGAAACCCTGAAATATTATATTGCAGCAGCAATTCCCCATTTGGAGATTAATAAATTAATTATACAATGACTACATGACTACAGTCAGTGTAGTGTCACAGGTACAGTTTACTGCAAAAGTATGTATAACCTTTGAACATGTTGTGGAGGGTGAAGTTTGTGGTTGTAAAGTGGCAAAATGTGAAGAAGTTAAATGAGTTTTGCAGGACACAGGGACTACATGGTGGATATTTACCTGTGCATTTGTCCCTGGGGTTGTCGAGACATTCAGCAACATGCCATCTCTGAGACTGTACAACCAGAATGTGGAAAGGCATCTGACAGATGGGACAGAAGTCTTCAGACATCTGCCTCTCGGCTGCATTGCTGTCACTTTGGATTACCTCTGTAGCAGAACACTTGACGGGTAATTCATTTGATAATAAAAGTTTGCTTTCAACAGCCTCCCCAACAGCAGAGGAGTCTCCACTTTCAGATGTTTTGGGTTTTGTACTCTTCTCTTTTGACCTGAGAGAGGGAGAGCTGTCCTTCTTTGACTTTTTCCTGGCAGTACATCTTCTTTTGGAAATCCACAGCGATTTATTGCTCTTTCTCTTCTTCTCCAGGGGTTTATATTCCCAAATGTCATTTTCGGAGTCATCCTTCTGTGACATTTGGAGCAGCAGCGAACTTAGCTTACAAGTGTCACCTTAAAACACAGGTTATTACACAAGAACTAACAACGTTTGGTAACATTCCTCTTCAGAAGCAAAAGTGACACCAAACCTGTAAGTATTGGATATTTGTCGTGTAGATATCCCTTGTAGACATTTCACTAACCGAATAACTGACTTTGTAGAATATTCATCACGTTTTCGAAAATATTTTCACATATTTTGTTCGTGTTCTGCTGTATGTAACTGTTAGCTACCCTTACCTTACCGCCACAACACAACGATGAACTAAGTAAACATAGTACGACAAAAAAGAGCCACACTTTCTACATTTTTAAGCACGCTAAAATGCTTAAAAATCTTTAGTAGAACATCTAAAAAAAATCAGATAATACAGAAATTACTTTAAAGCTTATATCATTTCTGAATTTCAACAAAAAAGTCATTTAAAAAAAGTGTCGTATTTTATCTTTCTGCTGAAATGAACGTTGCGAATCTACGACGTCACTCCTATTGGTCGGTTTGGCCACGCGGCTGTTGTGATTGGTTATTGTTGCCTTAAGGAACTACAGACGCTGCCCGTCATCATTGTTGTAGTTTTTGGTGCAATCATGGCGTCCCACAGCAGCCTCGTTAGACTGTTTCCCATTCAAAGTCAGCTCGATTACGCTTTAGATGATGCCACAACACAACAAGAAAAGGAAGATCTCGTCTACCAGTATTTGAAAAAGATAGACGAGAGGGAAGACCTGAAGATACCGGATTTTCAGACAGGTTAGATCATGTTGCAGCTTTAGCTTCCTTAGCAAATCTCCTCCCTTCAGAACAGTTTGACAGGAGTTTAACAAGTATTTTTTCTTACGATTCTAATCGTTTTGATGAAATAAATGCACCTTATTTTCAAATTACCATCTCCTTTTTCTGCCTGGCTTTCGACAACAGTTTCATAGCTATTTCCCAACATGGTTTTGAAGGAGCTTAAATGCAATCTAAACACCAGTTTTTAGCAGTTGTTTGGGATTCTTATCTCTTGCCAGTAATATAAGAAAAGCAGCGACAAAAAACAAAAAAAAAACAGAACAATAACAAAAAAAAAAAACAACAACTAAACTTTGACCAAATTCGGATCAGCTGCTTTGTGTTGGTTTGACATCATAATCATTATAGGGTTGTCAACTGTGTATGGCTGTTGACGCCCATAGATAGTGTCTTGCAAAGTATTCATGGCAACAGCTGTTTCAAATTTCATTAAACTTCCACGTCTTTTTTTTTTGAGCTATTATTTGTTAAATCAACACAATGTTATACAAGAATATCTGAAAAGTGTGGTGTAAAACTGCAAACAGCCCACTTCACTCCGATATCCCAAAATAAAAGGTATTTTCATTGCTAGAAGGTAAATCTTCATCCCAGTCAAAACGCTTTTAAAGCCCTTTGCAGATTTTCTTCCGGGCTTTTCCATCCATCTTCCAGGATGCTGCTGCCATAATGTTTCATGGGTTGGTGTTGGTTCTCCACCACAAAATACCTTGTGGCCAAAAAGTTCAGTTTTGGTTACATTTAACCAAATCACCTACTTCTACAGGTATTCTTTGTCCCCTACTTGGACATATCAAACATGTAGAAACAGGAATTTCTTTCAACAATGGCTATCTTCTTGCCGCTCCTCCTGAAAGGCCAAATTTTTGCAGTGCATGACTAATAGTTGTCATGTTGACATGTTATCACACCTGAACTGCACCTCCCCTAGAAAAATTGAAAGCCAAACACTTCAACATCACATTTATATTCTTGCAAACGTTGTGGTTTGCAAGCTTCAGAGGGTATGAAAACTTTTGTGAGGCTTGTAGTTTCCTGCGGTCAAGTTGTTTTCGAACTTGTGATAAATAGGAAGTGGCAACACATTCAGGAAATGAACTAACGTTATTTTGAATCTTCCATATTTGACTCTTGATTTGCAATGTACTGTCGGCTTTTATGAGTATGATTGTTTTTAATGTTTAGGGAAGAGGTCCAAAAACATTTGAAATGAGTCAACAAAGGCTTCAAAACTGGTCCCAGCCCTTCCTACCACCTTTGGGTTGCATACTGGTAAATGACAGCCAGTCAGGTTTTAATGAGTAGAAAATAAATTTACGTCCATTTTAGTATGTTTTTTCCTGTGATTGGTTTTGAGTTTTATTTTTAAATGAATTTAGTTTCCAGTAAAAGTCAGTTTGTTGATTTTTCAGGCCAGAATAATAATTATTTATCTTAATAATTTGGGATAAACTATTACGGCATATTGTCAACATCTCATTACACCAGCAGGTGGAGATCTTCAGCACAAATGAGCTCCACCATCTCTCAAGAAATAAAGATGCTAGTTATTTTTTCCACTTAATTGACTCACTGAGCTTAGCAGATAGGTAAATGGTAAAAAACTTGTTGCTCTCACTGGTTTCACTAAGTGTAAAATGGAATATTTCACTTTGACTGTCCTGCAGTATCACTATGTGAGTAAACTTTTAAGGTTTGGGCAAGTTGAGCCACTTTTGGTGACTTTGGGAATCCATAAATAAGTAACAGTCCTAACTGGATCCTTGACAGTTTTGTGAATTAATCCAAATCGTACTACAGAAATAAAAAAAATGTTTTAATAGAGATGCACTCATGTGACTTAAATGCAGAGTGAAAATATCTATTTTTTGCTCAAGTAGTAAGCGATCTAAAAAAAAGACAAAAGCGTTACTGTTTCTTATGATTTCCTCCAGGCTTGGAGTGGCTGAACACTACAGAGCCTCTGTCTTTGAGCAAGGAGCTGGCCGGCAAAGTGGTGCTGCTGGACTTCTTCACTTACTGCTGCATCAACTGCATGCACATCCTCCCTGACCTGCACCAGCTGGAGAAGAGACACTCTGTTGAAGGTCTGTGCATGCTGTGTGTGTGTGTGCATGCCCATGAAAAGGGCTTATTACTGTGGTTGTGACAGTAAGAAAAGGTAGATCATGGCAACAAGCACGCTTGCGGGTGGGGATGGGTGAAGGGCGTCCAGTCTTGTAGATAAAAGACGAGGATAAAAACCCACTATACTGTCCACAAAGGATATTGAATTGAGTCCTGATAATGTAAAAACTGAAATTATGATGAAAATAAATGAAAATTCATGTTTTTTTCTTTGAAACACATTTTGTTCCACAGCACAAAAAGACTATAATCTCACCCTGCAGCCTCAACAACAAGCTTCATCATTCTTACTCAGTTTGCAGATCTTTAAAATCGTGTGCAAATACTAACACGAAAGAGTTGCACATCCGATAGAGGAATTTTGGGTTTTTATCATTGTGTAGAATATAAATTAGCCTTGTCCATCATAGTTCCTAGTGAAATGCAGTACTTGTCATATTGTATGTACCTTTCATTTCCTCTGGGATGAATTTGATGCCAAAGGTTTATATGAGCTTGTTACAGTTGATCAAACAAAAAGCAAAGTATTATCAGTAGCAGTGCAATTACAGCCACATGCTGCCTAATTTAAATACAGATCCCCAAGAGGACAATCTAATGGATTGCCTAATGCAACCATTTTTACTGAGAGTGCCACTTTTTAGACTAACTAAAAATTTATTTTTTAAGGTACCTTTTTATTAAAGAGTCTGTCATACTTCTCTGGGATCAGAGATTGCTCTTATTGTAATGAGCCTATGTTTCCCTTTCTGCCAGTATCCTTCTTGAAATTATTTTCTCCCTGATTCACCCTGAAAATCCCTAAATTTATCCCAGTGGATACATTTGTATGTTTTCAGCACCACACATCTTAGGCAAGCAGGCTCAGTGTTAACTCTCTAGAACAAGAAGTAATTTCCTCCCAAATCTTATTGTAAGCGTGAGATGAAAACATCAAAACACTCCACTTGGTCAACAGTGTTTGATTCAGGGAGCTAAATGCTCAATATGCAAAAAGGAAAGGTCAAAATCCAACCAATTACCCAAATATTTACAGAATAATTCTGTCCAGCAGTATCTAATAATTCAGTTTTATTTAATTTTCTTATAATATTCAGCCAATCTTAAGCTGTACAGTACTGCATACGATCACAAAGCAGTGCCAACTGTGTGAAATATACTATTATCTGCATAAATAAGCAATTTAACAGAATACATAATCTTTCTAACATTATTAGTAAATATGTAAAATAAAATGGGAACTAAGGTTGAGCCTTGGGGGACTCCTTTAAATTTTGGCCTTTTCTCGATATGCAGAAACACATTGTTCTATCTGAAAGGTGATCTCTAAAGCCCAATTACTCAAACCAATATCACTTATTCTTCTCACTAATAAACTAATTATGACATTTGTTTACAATATAATAGTTGTTATGGTGCTGTATCTCTTGTCATGCTATAATTTGTTTTGCAACTTTTAATGGTTTGACGCACCTTAATGCTAACCCCACTTAAAAAACTCAATCAAATTGCATTAAATGCTCCTACTTGCATGACCAAAATGATCTGAAAATCAATTGAAATGCATTCAAATTTGACTTGTACCCAAAAAGAAATCAGGAATTTTTTGATGGAAAATGTGGAGGAACCCTTAAATAAAGCAATGTGCTTCCGTGTTGTTCTGTGCTGCATAACACAACACGGCGCATTACATATGTAACCCCACTTAGGAAGGGGAACTGTAGTAAAACCGTCTGCTTTTTCTCCAAGAGCAGGAAGGCCCTTATCTCAGCTGCTAAGAGATGGTAACCAAAAATAATTCCCAGCTGCTGTGGAAGTTACTGCAGTGCTCATGCATGACTCCCCACTTTGCTGCAGCCCATAGTAATGAACTTAAACAACCGGCTACTGGCAACCTTCTGTGTCCTTTTGCAATATTTGCTGTTGTTTTGAATCCTAAATTTAAATGTATTACAGCTGAAGGTTCAAAAAGTGTGTTTGATTGTGTACTGCAAAGTTAAGAAAATGTATGTTCAATCTCTAAGCAGTTTTAACAACATTTGGGTCATGGCTACATCATGCTTGGATCAAACTGACTTAATGAGAATGTCTATGAAGGCATTATGTGGCACATAGGCCACGCTGGCGTAATAGTCGATGCAAATTTATATTGTTTTGTGTCTTTGTGTGTTATTTACTGGTTGTGTTCTTGGGGTTAGATCAGAAAGATTTTGTAATTTTGGTTATAAAAATAGAGCATATTATTTATGGCCTGTCACAATTTCACATAGCTGCCAGTAGGGGTCGGTATCGCTCCACCGTTGCAAAGGGATAACCGTTGCTATGACGATTCTGTGTAACCGTTGTGTAGCGACCGTACTTCTAATACTAGTTATTTTGTGTTACAGGTAAGCTGGTGATGTTAATAATATATAATATGTTATGTTATGGGGTTCTGTTAAGCATCAATTACCACACTGAGTTCCTGTATTAGTACCGTTTCCGTTATCAGTTACTTTTACTTCGTGAACCGCTGTTAACCGTGTTCAGAGCGGAGGCGGGTGGAGGAACAAGCGCTGTGTATGTAGTTGGAAAAAACCCGATTCCTTTCTGAATTCAACACGATGATCGTTTACATATTATGTAAAATATCGATAAATGTCTGCTGTGTTTGACTATATGTTGATTTTCTTGGGATATGTGCGTTAGATAAAAAAAAGACCGTTGCTAAGAGATAATCGTTGCTAAGGTGTTTGTGTGTGAGCGTTGTGTAGCGACTGTACTAGTTCTAATAGTTATTTTGTGTTACAGATGTTCAATTAAAGCCATATATCTGGATAGATCTTTTCAAAACTTTATTATTTTATTAAATGTATGTAGAATTTGTATGTTTTTCCTCTGTTTCCCCACATTTCTCTGTTTTGATGTGAATTGAGGACAAAAAAGTACCCCTGAAGCTCACTTGTTTGTTTCAATTTTAAGTATGGAACAAAAAATAAATAAACATCACTGCCACATATTCATGTTGCTAACTGCTAAATGTCAATGGAATATAATTCTTTAATGTACTTTCTTAAATCCAGCAGAAACTTAATTTCAAAGATCATCTCATTGGGCGGCGTGTTATAATTGAGTTGTGAGCCTGGCAGCGCTCAGAGCACAGTGTCAGCGCTGCTCTTATCTTTGGCACTGATTCGGGTACATTTTGTTTGCAGCTCTGGTCGGTGAGGTGTGGGAGCCACCCAGTTCATTCACTCCCACAGTCCACTCACTCACCCTCCCATTGTCACTACAATCTGTTGCTGGTACTACACTGTTTGGCAGAGGTTGTAAGGGACAGAAGTGAGTGGAGCCTTTGGAGCTGCTCAGGAAGTGGCTTGTTGGATCTGTTTACAGTGGGAGTTATTATTTCTGTAATAAAGAGACAGCTTAACTGAACCAATATGGGTTTATAAAGGGTATGTGATTCATAAAGTTTTGGTTTGTAAAGCCTAGAATAGCTCAAAGACTTAAAAACTTCATATGCATTCAAATTTTTGCAATACGTATTTGAGACAAATTTAGAGGAACATGAATTTTACAGTGCATTTTATTCAATTATACCTGTGGCAGTTTTTGGTTATTTTGATTCAACTCTTGTTCCTACTGAAGATTGTCTGAATATACCAACATGTATCAGAAATCAAGAGAAATTTTTAGATCATTGGCGTGGCGATCTAGCCAACCGGCACACTAAAATTGATGAGAAGTGTTTTTTACAAGCCTGGTCTGCCTGTAGTGAAGCGCATTGATGAAAAAAATAAAAACAAATTGCTAAAAATTATTGGAAGTGTTCAGGTTAGACAACATAATTCCCTCACCATTACTCTGACATGTTGCCAGAATATCCTGCTTTATAAAAGTGAGCCATCCCGGAGTTGTATGTGATCAGTCGACATTAACAGATGACAATAGTAAAACACTCTTGTTACCTGATAAACTTTATGCTTACAAACAACACCTTCTATGGCTCAGTGGTTAATGTTTTCTTTCTGTTCAGTCCCAACTATTCCTAGCCATAGCATGTCAGGAAGTATATTGAAAATGTCTTGTTATAATTTATTCATGTTGCAATCTTTCAATATTTAAGTTATTCCCCATGGTGATATTTGTCTTTTATTTGACAAATTTTTACCATTTACAGGTGATTCACATGCCTATAAAAATATATCTTATCACTTTTTGCCACTTGGATCAGGAAAACTCTCCTACTGGTGAGGCACATTTCAGATGTCTTTACACACAGGACTGTAAGTTCTGAATTTGAGAAAACTGTACAAAAAAGGAAAATGTTTCAGTGCATTGTCCGGCGCTCATTAAGAAACTGGAAGGAAACCTGGTTTGTGTTCTTTGAAGTTTCTCCCATAAGATTTTTAACATCGCAGAAAGGTTTTTCCCTCAAAAACTCTGATTCTCAGTTGCTGTTGGCCAAGTTGCAAATCATATCATGATACTTGCTGTCTGAAAGCAAATTTGATGGTGATTAAAAAAATCCCAGAGCATTAAAACAACAATAATCTAATTTTTACAAATTATTATTAATCAGTAGTAAATATCAGATAGTATTAAGCATCCTACATGTCTTTTATTATGTTTAGAACCCTGTTTTTCATGCTGATGTCTGTTTATGGTTGGTATAATTTTCTCTCTGTCTGTTTAATCCTTTTCGCAGATGGGCTGGTGATTGTCGGTGTGCACTCTGCCAAATTCCCCAATGAAAAAGTAAGTGTTGTTGTGGTTTGTTTGTCTTTGGGCTGACTGGTCTGGGAAAGCTTTTCTGCATTTTAAAAACTGCCAAAATAAATTAAGCTAGCATAACAGTAGCTTAATCCTCCAATAAAAAGTTTAGAAAAATACAAACTTAAATTTTAGTGCATTTATTAAGTGGGAGAAAAAAAATCCTATCTTAGTTTTTTTTATTACTAAATTCCACTTTTTGGCATTTTTGATTTTCTTGTACTAAAAAACTCCTGCTTTTTCAAATTGATCAATATCTATAGCTTTTTAGTTGATAATCCATGACTTCCTGTTTCCCTGCCTATAAATATGATGTAACACAAACACATTTTGCTCTGCCACTCTTCAAAATGGGAATGACAGAAGAACATTCCGCGCCAGGGCAGTCATTCATCTCGCAGCCTGTTGTGTTTTTGAGTTAAAACATGTTTAAAGTTAACAGAAAGTTTTAAAATATCACTTGATAATTATGTGTTATTGAAAGATTGGGCGAAGATTAATACCTTAACGCCAACTATAAAGTCTTAAAAAATGCTAACATTTTTAAAAAACATAAAAAGAAAAAAAAATCACTGTTAAGCCTGGTGGGGACACAAGTAAAGTCTGGTGGCCCACCAGGCTTATAGTACACTGAGGAAAACCCTGAACATTGCATCCAAGAAATGGCTGCTCACATAAAGTTGCACTGACAGTAATAGCTGTAATTAAAAATAAAATTGTGGTAAATTCACTATGTGAAATACATAATATAGATTAATTAGGCACAGACTGATATTTTCAAGCCTTAAGTTTTGTTAATTGTGATGATTTCCTACTTACTGCTAAGGAAAACACACTATTTAAGGTGAAAATATTGTCAGACCAATTAAAAAAATTAATACTGGAATGTGGGATGAATGAAAAATATGTTAAATACCTGCATAAAGGTTTATTTTAATATATTTTGGTCTTTCATCAGGATAATTTAGGCAAATCAAGACATAAAATGCTTCACTTAAAGCGAAACTAACCGTCTTCCAAATCAGTCTTAAGAGCTAAATCCTATTCAACGTGCGACATTACAAGATGTAGCTGAAAATATAATTTATATACTTTTCCTACTTCCAAGAGATCAACTTTGAAAAGAGAAAGAAAATGCCAGAGAAAGCATTCATATATCCCACCCACCAGCGGGTGCCACGATGAGGAGATAATCAGTACTGTCACTTCACCTGTCAGTGGTCGTAATGTTGTGCCTGATCGGTGTACAAAGCATTAACAGCAGGGGAGCCAATAAGTGGCACCTGTGTTTTTGTTAAGAGCAGTGGATTTTTTCCTCCACTGAATAAATCTTCTCAAATGAAAGGTAT